CCCCCCAAAAAAAGCCAATTCATATACCAGGGGTAGATCCTATTCCCACTGTCAGGGGCCCCTCAAACAGAGCAACCTACACAACTGTCTTGCCCATGCAGAGGGCCCAGTCCAGTCCCATGCAGGCTCCACAGCTGTTGGTCCAAAGTTCATGAGTTCCCACTAGCTTGGTTCAGTTGTCTCTGTAAGTTTCTCCATCATGGTCTTGATGGCCCTTGCTCATAGAATCCCTCTTCCCTCTCTTCGACTTGACTCCTGGAGCTTGGCCTGGTGCTTGGCCATGGCTCTCTGCATGTTTCCATCAGTTACTGGATGAAGGCTCTATGATGACAGTTAGGGCATTCACAAATCTGATCACCAGGATAGGCCAGCTCAGGCACCCCTTCAACCACTGCTAATGGTATAAGTTGGGGTCATCCTTGGGGATTCCTAGGAACTTCCCAACACCAGGTTTCTCCCTATCCCCATGATGTCTCCCTCTATCAAGATATCTCCTTCATTGCTCTCCCACTCTGTCCCTGTTCCAGCTCGACCATCCCATTCCCCCATGCTCCCATCCCCCACCACCTACCATCTATAGCACCTTCCCTCACCCCCAGCAGATAAAAGACTCCTCTCCTAGCCGGAGAGTCCTGTCTTCAGGACCCAGGCCCAGAGAAAAACATTTTCTGAGATGAAAAGAGATGGCGAAGGAAGTGAGCTAGTGTTGCTAACAGGAACAGCTGAAGAGTGGAGGTTAAGGGAGCTGGAGAGCTTGGCTAGACGTGAGAAGTTTAGCAAGGAGTGGAAGCCCAGCAGTGATGAGCTTCTGTGAACACGGGCAGCTCATCGCATCCTCGCCGCTGAAATAAAACAGTGCTTTGTGAAACAGTTTGAGCTGATGTCTCAGCTCTCATAAAATTGCTCATCAAGTGAGAGATAAAATTTTAGTGGAAATTGGAAAAACAATTGTGTTGTAATGATATGCACATGAAGCCTATGCCTGTACAGAAAACTGATTTGGGTGAAATCCAGAAATCTCCATAGTTAAGAACTTGAGGTTTTGTGAAGAACTAGATTCTCATCCATCAAATGGATTAGGTATCAGAGCAAATTTGTATTTGTTTTCCGATGACTCAAGAACAATATGAAGGGTCTTCCCCACTGTTGAATGTACTTTGCACATGATCAGGAGAACCATCTTGGGCGTGGATGATTAAGGAAGAAGCCTCCAGTGCCTGGGATTGGCTTCTATCTTTCAGGCTCTCTGAATACAATTCCGTTGTCTTTTTTTACCCATTCTATAGCTCCTTTCCTACACTAATACTGCAAACACATTATGGCAGAGTTACTAAAGGGTCTTTCCTGTGAAAGGGTCTTTCCTATGAAGGGGTCTTCACAAATGAAGAAAGGAGTCTTAAGGAGGGTTAGTAATTGTTCCAAGTCACACAGCTAGTAAACTGCAGAGCCTGAATTCTAACTACCACCGGGCTTGGTCTGGAATCTGCCTCAACTGCTAAACACAATGCCTTTCACACACCAACGGTAACTAGACTGAGGGGTGAGAAGCTAAGGACTGTGTCTCAGCTATTAACACCCCTGCATTGTGTGTGACAGGAGACTAGAGGCCTTCTTCTAGCCAACTTTCTGTTTCTCTCCTTCTCCAGCTCCAGAAAGAACGAACACTGCTAGTTCGAGTCCATCTCCATGGGAACAAGGATTCTGAAGCCATGCTGAGGCTGCTAAGGCTGTGGTCCCAGCTCCATTCCTATGGGCTGCCCTGGGTTAGCAGAGGTGAAAAAGGTTCTTAAAGGAAGATACATATGTTCTTTCAGAAATTAATCTCTCTCTCTCTCTCTCTCTCTCTCTCTCTCTCTCTCTCTCTCTCTCTCTCTCTCTGAAGGCAGTAGATAATGAATTGCTTCCTGGTGAGCAGAAACCAGGAAATTTGGCTGTTAGTAGTTTCAGACTCTCCATGGCTCACAGGGTCACAGGTACAGTACGTGAAAGAAAGTCTTGAGAAATCTGGGGTTCCTGCTAGACCTCTTCTTCCCTGAATGGGCATCTTGAGAGGTGCCATTCTCTTCTTTTATTATATTATTTGTTTGTTTGGATGGTTAGTTAGTTGGTTAGTTACCATGCATGTGTCCACACATGCCACAGTGTGCATGTGGAACACAAAGACACCACCACTGTATTAGCTCTTATGTTCTGTGGGAGCAGGAACTGGGCTGGGCAAGAACCTCCTGAACAGCATCTGGGGTCAGAATGGAAAGGCTTGGTTGGCCGGTGTCTGGACTACTAGTACATTTGGCATCTGGTGTGCAGGTGAATCCTAGAAAATGTATTCCCAAAGAAGCAGACATCCCACAGATCCACAACCATCCCCAACCCAGTGTAGCCTGCGACACAATCTGTCAGCCACCCACAGACTCTCCTTATTCTTCCTTTAGATGATCCGGGCTCCAGGGGCCATGTCTTCCTCCCCCTTCATCCCCGACCACCACCCATAGTGGAAGGAAGTGGGAAGAACTCAGATGCTCATTCTCCTCTCATTGCCATTTCCAGTGGCCTTTTGAAGACAGGTAAGTAGACTGGAGTATCTGTATAGTTTCATTTTCAAGTCACCAGAGAACTTCAAAGGGGAAAAATAGACCAGGAGAAAGTATTTTTGAGGAAAAAAAAAAGAATTCTATATGAGCTGAGAATAGACATGACTGAGGTGATCGCAAGTTGTCGGGAGGCAGGCAGAGGGTGTTGGTGAGAAAGCTGTGACCTCACAGCTTTGAGAATCCAAGCTGTGTGGAAGCTTAGCTGTTGCTGCTTGGGTTTAGGGAGCAAACTGCCAAAATATTGTGATGAGATGATATGAACATAAAATCATCTTATTTTCTCTTTTATTGCTTTATTTTTTTTTAGATGGATTCCTAAATATACTCAGAACACATTTTCTTACTGAGCTTGCTCCTATGGGGCCTAGGAAACAAAAAATATTCATGGTCATTTGCCTTCAGGTCAGATGTTACTAATTTTATGATGTGTTTCATGCTTATCAAAATCGTGCATGAAGATGTGCACAGTGTACATTTGAAGTAGCTCCTTTGAAGTTACAGGGTACCCTGTACATGAAAATGGGTGCACTGTAGTATGTTGTTCTTTGTGGGAACCGTACAGTGAAGAGGAAGATCTGAACTTACATGCAACAGTATGGTGGCTTTCATGAATAGTGTTGAAAGAAAGCAGACAGAAGGCTGTATTATTTCAGTCACGTAAGATACATACAGAAAAATATATTTGCACTGTCACAAGCTAGAAAATAGTTACTCTGGAGGAGAAAGACTGGGGGAGGCAAGAGGGAGGGACTTCCGGCGACTTCCTGCTCTAGCGCTAAGTGCTGTCCGCATGGGTGTATTTGGCATGTAAGACGATGAACTTGACAAAGCATTTTTTCTCATGTATATTTTGCTTCAGTTAAAAAATTAAAAACAAAGTATTTACATTTGAATAATGTAAATACTTTACTAGGCTATAACAACAAAATAGATGATTCAGAGAAAAATACAAGGACTCTTCTAATCTTGGACTGGGGAAGCCTGTGTCTAAATACCTGATTGTCCTGGCCTTTCTGGTTTTAAAGCAGATTAGCTTTATATGAAGAGTGAAGTAGGTATTGTCACTTGTATCTCTAAACAGGTAACTCAGTGTCGCCCCTGGCCTAAAGGGAAAGAAGGTAGTCGGTTTGTTGGAGACAGATCACAACTTTTGTTCTGGTTTGAGGGAGCCAGGAATTCAGAACAAGTGAACTGCATCCATTATCTGGGCACCAGGAAGACAGGAAGAGGCTGTGACGGTGATGGGGAGGACAAGCTCTGCACCACCCCACCCCGGCTCCTGGTCTCTCTGATCCTGGATTCTTTGGCTGCCACCATCCAGAGTTCTAAATGTCTGGTTTGTGTGTTCTGTATCTCCGCTGTGGCTCCTCCCACCACCCACTTATTGACTTCTAGAGATGCAGCTCTGTGTAACTTTTTCTCATTCTTGTGTCCCGCCTTTTTTGTGTTCTCTGCCGGACTAAACCACCACTTACCAAGTTTCACTGAGGCTCATCGGTGCAGAAGCCTTACTCAGATGTGTCCTACCTTTTGACATTAAGACACGATGTCACAATGGACATTCCAATTACTAAAAACAGATTTCATTATGTTTCAAAATGTAAGTAAAGTTATGGTTTTGTGTTAGGTTGCATTCATGCCTTGCTTGGGGTATCTGTGCCCAGTGGGCTAATGGCCACAGCAACCAACCAAGTTTTTAAACAGCCTCCTGATCTTTCTAGGAAGCAAGAGACACAGGTTGGGGTGTGTATGGCACATGGTGGATTTTCCACACCACAACAGAAAAGCAACAGACTTTGTTATCTTGTTAAGGTGACACCAGTTACCTTGGGAAAAAAACTGTATCCCAAATGCATACAATATAGGGAAATAGTCATAAGCCAGGCATTGAGCTGGTGATTCCTTGAGTGTAGCCACAGAGAAATGTCCTCCCAGACACTGCAGGAATGTTCCAGTGGTTAGAGCAGCCTTGCTTCCCCTAACTTGGTAGGTGAGTAGCACATTTATGTTAAGCTGGTGGGGCCACGTCCAAAATCTTCAGCCTCGGCTCCACAGTGCCACAGCTTGTCTGTCCTCAGAGAGCAGGGTTTGTACTTGATACAAACAGTGAGGCGCCACCTGAACAAGCAGACTGGTTACAAACAAGGAAACTGGCATCAACAGCTTTTTGCATTATGATGGGGGACGAGATGCTTTTTGCCCGACCCTCCAAACCTGGAGGTGCACTCTACCTAGAAATCCATGGCCTCACCGGCCTGGGAAGCAGGCATGCTGTCTTCACCCTCCTTCCGGTCCTCCAATCCTGACTCCCCAGTTTTATCCCCAGCTTTGTAGCAGACCACCTCTGTGGCCTCTCCTTCCTCTCTGCCCCCCATTCCCAGGAGGGTCTGCAGATCTTATCTGACAGCCTTCCTTCTTCACCCTGTCCCTTCATCTCAGCTGCCAACACCAACCTGCTGGCCAGGCTGCCCTGGGAGTCAGGGAGGCTATCTTCACCCTTGCTTCTCTCCATTGCCAACTCTCCAGTCTCACCCCCAGCCCTGAAGCAGGCTTGTCTTCCCTCTCTGCCTCCGTCCCCTGGAGACTCTGCAGACCCCTTGCAGCAGTCCCAGGCCATCTCCTTCCTGTGACCCTCTCAGCCACGCCCCTTCTAGCCCCTCCCCATTTCTTCATGTCAACCCCCTATACCTAGAAACACATTCTACTCTTGGGACCCCCAGGTAGCACAGCCACCACACTCTGCAACAGAAACCAGGGAACTGAGAACCCACTGAGGAAAGACAAGACTAGATATTAACATCTAGAATTATAATCATCTCAAATCCAGATGTCTAGACACCAGCATAGAAACACAATGACAGCCAGGACAAAATGTCTCTACCAGAACCCGTAATATAGTAGGCCCAGAGAAGTACAATACAGCTGAAAGCACGGGAAAAGGACTTCAAAATAGCTATTATGAATGTGATCAAGGACATTGAGAGGCTATGAATACACCCATTAATAGAATCTATGAAAACACAAACAGTGGAATGAAATAAAGAATACAGTTCAAGATATGAAAGTAAATATCAAATCACTAAAGAAAACTCTAAAATAGAGGTAAAACTGGTACTGAAAAATTTAGGCAAAGAAAAATCTTAGAGGTAAGTTTCACCAACAGAATACAAGAAATGGAAGAAAGAACTTCAGGCATTGAAGATAAGATAGAAGAAATGGATACCCAGTCAAAGAAAATGCTAAATTAAAAAAAAATCCAGGCACAAAACATACAGGAAATCTAAGACACTATGAACTTTGATTAATAGGAATAGAAGGAGAAGAAACCCAGGTAAAAGCACAGAAAATATTTGCAACAAAATCATAGAAGAAAATTTTCCTAACCTAAAGAAGGAGGTGCCTATAAATGCATAAGAAGCTTACAAAACACCAGATAGACTGGACCATAAAAGAAAGTCCCCTTAGCACATAATAAGCAAAACACTAAACATACAGAACAAAGAAAGAATATTAAAAGCTGAGAGGGAAAAAGACCAAGCAACATATAAAGGCAGACCTATAAAAATTGCACCTGATTTCTCAATGGAGACTCTAAAAGCCAGACATGCCTGGAAAGATGTGCTGCAGACTCTGAGACCACAGATGTCAGCCCAGACTGCTATACCCAGCAAAACTTTCAGTCACAATAGATGTAGAAAGAAAACATTCCAAGATAAACCAAATTTAAGTACTATCTCTAAGACTAGCTCTACAGAAGGTGCTAGAAGGAAAACAACCTGAAGAGGTTAAGCACACCCAAGAAAACACAAAAATAAATCACCTCAGATCATCAAATCAAAAGAGGGAGGAAAAACCTACAACAGAACAATACGATAGCAGGAAATCAACAAACACTGTTCATTGACAACTCTCAACATCAATGGTCTCAATTCCCCAATCAAAAGACACAGACATCAAACCAAAATTAATCAGAAAAGATAAGGAAGGACACGTTATACTCATCATATGAAAAATAACTCAGGAGGCCATTACAATTCTAAACATCTATGCACCAAACACAAGGGCACCCAAGTTCATAAAGAAGCACTACTGCAGCTTAAATCACATGCTGACCCTCACACAGTGATAGTGGAAGACTTCAATCCCTACGCTCACCAGTAGACAGATCATCCAGACAAAAACTAAACAGAAACCCTGAAACCAAATAGACCTAATAAATGTGCACAGAACCTTTCATGCAAACAACACAAAAGAATATACTTTTTTCTCAGCACCTCATGGAACTTACTCCAAAATAGACAAAGCAAGTCTCAACAGATACAAGAAAATTGGAATAACACCCTGCATCCTATCTGACTACCACGAATTAAAGCTGGTTATCAAAAAATGACAGGGAGCTTACAAACTCATAGGAACTGAACAACTCATTACTGAATGACAGAAATTAAGAAAGAAATCAAACACTTCCCAGAATTGAATGAAAATGAGTATAAAACATACCCAAACTTATGGGATACAATGAAGGTAGTTCTAAGAGGTGGTTTTATAGCACTGAGTGCCTCATAGAAAATGAGGAGATCTCATAGTAGTAACTTAACAGTACACCTGAAAGAGTTAGAACAAAGAGAAGAAATAACATCCAGAAGAAGTAGATGGCAAGAAATAATCAATTTGGGGCCAATAAAATAGAAACAACAACAAAAACAATACAAATAATCAATGAAATAAAGTTAGTCCTTTGGAAAAAAATTCAGTAAGATTGACAAACCTGTACCTAAATTAACTAAGGACGCTATTAGGTGACAATAGTGAAGAAATAAAACGAGTCTGTGCCGTTGACTTCCCAGGAATTCAGGATGTTTGGATCCATTGTGTGTGACTAGGACTTGAACACCAAGGACGTCAAGGAGCCTAATCTAATCACAGCTATGTTCATGCTTCAGGAACATCTGTTGGCTTTTGAATTGTTGTTCATAGAATTTGGATATTAGGAGACAGTAGCATTCATGAAAAATGCTCCTCTTACAGCACCGTTTATCCTCAGGAGTCTTCCACAGCAAGTTCAAGATTTCTTCTGAACTACAGAAACTTGGAGCTTTGCTATTTACATATAGCAGTGGTGGGGATGCAGGCAGTCACAGGCAATCCCGTGGACACCCCAGCAGTGCAGACCACGGCACAGTGAAGTGAGGTGGTGATGAGGAGATTCCTGCTCTTCCCCCATGACCAGTACAGCTGTTGAGGGGCCAAGCCTGGGAGCTGAGTGCTACTTCAAAAGATGGACGACGTCAGTCATCTAACAGTTTGCTTACGCACATTCTCTATGTCCATGTCCCTAGTTTATTCACTATTTCCTCAAGCGTGCTTCTGACTTGGGGAAGCAGATAAATGACTTTTTATTAAGTCCTTCCTCCAGACTAAGCAACTTATGGTGTCTCAGTTGTGCTCAAACTATGTTTGTATGTTGGGTGTCTTTCTTCAGACTGAAACTGAAGTTCAGAGAGGCTAAACTGGTGTTCTGAAAATCACAGCTAGGCAGAGCTACAACTCAATGCTAAATCATCTGGTGTGAGAATCTGAGCAGTATTGAACATGTCTGCTTATGCTGATAATACACACTGAATCTGATGTCATAGCTTCATAACATTTTCAAGCATACGCTGTCTTTTTCTTCACAAAGTAGATATTCAAAATAAAGGAAAAATTATTGTCAAAGGAATAGACAATATGATAGTTGACATAATTATTTCACCTTGTGCCATGAAATGATAGAATGTCATTGTTAGAGTAATGGATGCCCTCCATTTGATGCATCTACAGTTAGGACATTTTCTATTCAGGGTTCCTGCAGGGTGAATAAGTAGGCACTTCTATATATGTGTGGCTGAAAAAGACTCACCAAAGCCAACAGCCAAGAATAAATGTTGAAGAACCTACTCCCAAGAATATATTCTAAATTCTACTCCAGGAGCAGATGCTTCCAACAACTCTCTAAAATAAGCCTCTTTATTTCAACCAAAGATACACAAAGAGTGATGTACAATCTCAATACGATCTCATCTCTGAGCAACAAGACAGTGTCAGAATCTACCGAAAACATGGTTTATTTCTCATTATATTTCCTTTCTGATTTAGTTAAGCAGGATTTGTTGGCCTTGTTTTTATTTTATGTCTGTAATTGTTTTGTCTGCATATAATGTATGTACATTGTATGTGTGCCTAGTGTCCCCAGAGGCCAGGAGAGAGTATTGGATTCCCTGGAATTGGAGACAGTTGTAAGCCTCCGCATGGGTGCTGGGAACCAAACTTGGGTCCACTGGAAGAACAGCCAGTGCTCTTGACTCCTGAGCCATTTTTCTAGCTCCCTGTATTTATTTATTTAGTGTGTGTGTGTGTGTGTGTGTGTGTGTGTGTGTGTGTGTGTACATGTGGCACATACATATGGCACATATATTGCACATACATATGCTATGGCATACATGTGGAACTCATAGAACCATTACATATAATTTTTAAGATTGTCATATAATTACATCGTTACCCGCTTCCCTTTCCTCCTGTCAGTCCCTCTCATGCACCCACTCTGCTCTCATTCAATTTCATGGCCTCTTTTTCTTAAATTGTTGTTGTAGTTGTGTGTGTGTGTGTGTGTGTGTGTGTGTGTGTGTGTGTGTGTGTGTATTCCTAAATATATAAATACAACCTATTCAGTCCATATAATGTTTTATATATATGTTTTCAGGGCTGATCATTGGATAATCAATTGGTGTGCTCTTCCTTGGGGGAAGGCTATTTCTCCTGCTCTCAGGGTTTTGTCTAGGGTTGAGGCCTCATGAACTTTCCCCCATCCATGATAGCCTGTTTATTGGTGTTGTCCTTGTTCAGCTCATGTTTAGGCAACCATGTTGGTGAGACTTCATGGGTGCAGCTTCTCTGACA